ATGAGCAGCAGCAGCAGATGGTGGAGCCGCCAGACAAGCAGGTGAGCACCAGATCAGTGGGTCCCAAACAAGCAGTGCGCAGCAGCGGGAGCAGCCTCTCCCCCCTCCCCCCCCGCCAAGCCACAGCTCCATCCCTCACCTGTCCCACCCCAGCTGGGCAGCGCTTGCTCCAGCCCCTGCCCCAGCCCCACTCCTTCCTCACCACGGGGGCTTTGATCTGCCTCCCCCACACCTCTCCCTTCCCCCTCCCCTACCACCACACCAGACTTACCACCTTCACGCAGCTCTCCAAGCTGCTAGGCTGGTATCGGAAATTGGATCGGTATCAGCCAATATGCCTCCTTAAAAATCGGCTATCGGTATTGGCCCCAAAAATCTCTATTGGTGCACCCCTACTTAACAGTAGCATTGAATCTTTTAGTTCTACATTTAAATTTTTTCCTTCTTACTTTCAGTATCAAGTAGTGAACTTAAAAGAGAAATTCTATCCAGAAGAGTACATTCAGGGCAAAATTTCAATTGTTTATTTGAAGAAGGAAATTGTTAGTTGAAGTTGGCTGTAGTTGTCTTACTAAGTTGTATATTTTTTCCATGAACAGCTTAAAAGGTAATTATTAACTTATTTTTCTTTTCTGGGGATATTACACATGAACAGACATTGCTCTCAAATGAAACACAGTAAGAACTAGCTGCTGAAACAGTGTTATTTTTCACTAAAAATTACTTTAAATGTGTCACTTGCATATGCAAACTCAATTATTTGTTCATTTGGTTCAAGATCAAATGAGTCATTAAGCAAAACTGTCTATAGATATAAACTAGTTAATTTGCATTTTGAAATGAGGAATCCACTCTTATCTTGCTCTTGACAATAAATATGTTTAAGTTTAGGTTAAAAAAAAGATAGATGACTTGAGTGGAGAAATCACTTAACTCCTATGATTGAAGACAGATGTCCTGTCCCTTTAAAATTACATTTGTTTGTTACCTACTAAACACTAAAATCAAACTTTCCCAGTACTGCCACAGCTTCATGAAGTTAACATGGAATTTAAAAACAAGTAGTCAGCTTTTGGTCATTATCTCAGATGCCTTGTCCATCTTTCTATATTTTAGCAAAACAGGCCCCCTACAGTTCTATTGCCATCTTTTCTACATCTCATGTTAGTTAAATACATTCACAAGCTATGTCATAGATTCATAGATTGTTAGGGGCTGGAAGGGACCTTGCAGATCATCGGGTCCAGCCCCGCCTCCCACCCCATCTCTAGGCAGGAAGACAACTGGAGTCAAGTGAAGTGACCCCAGTGAGGTGACTGTCTAGTCTCCTCTTGATAACCTCCAGGGTAAGTGACTGCACCACCTCTGGAGGGAGTTTATTCCACAGTCTGGACACCCTGACTGTGAAGGAGTTTTTCTTGGAAATGAGCCTGAAGCAGCCTTCCAGGACCTTGTATCCATTGGTCCTGGTCTTCCCTGGGGATGTCCTAGTGAACAGTTGTTCACCGAGCTCTTGATGGACTCCTGATGCACTCCTAAGATGCTATCAAGTCCCCTCTCAACCTTCTCTTCTTTAGGCTAAAGAGGCCCAGGTCCCTCAGCCTCTCCTTGTATGGCTTGACTTGCAAGTCCCTGATCATATGGGAGGCTCTTTTCTGGACCCTATCAAGTTTTTCCACATCCTTATTGAAGTGCAATGCCCAGAACGGGACACAGTACTCCAGCTGCAGTCTCACCAGTGTTGAGTACAGCGGGAGTATCACTTCCTTAGTTTTACACGAGATGCATGCCAGCATGTTGTTTGACCTGCTGACCACCACCTCACACTGACGGCTCATGTTCACGCGGTGGTCAATCACTACTCCAGGTCCCTTTCAGCTATGGTACAATGTCTTTGTCTTTAGTGATTAGTTTTTTACTACTCCAGAGGATAGGCCATACCAACATTCACTCAAAGGGCCCACAACTCATTTGTGTAAATAATGGGAAATGGTCATTACAAGCATGGAGGAGCTTTGGAGGAGGGTTATATATAAAGCATACCATTGGGGCTTCTGGACTGGAAAATGGAGAGGCATCAAAAGATCTGTTTTCTTTGTCTGATGAATCATCATCATAATTTTGATGTGCAAATTTCTGTTTTAGAGCCCGAGTGAGTAAAGATACTGGATCCAACGGCAAACTCCGCCTTTTTTTTGTCCTAAGAAGAGGAGTACCACCTGGTGACCTAAAAGAGCAGAAGACAAAGCACAGCCAAAAGATTAAATCACCCATTACCCTAGCATGTCTCCCTACAGCTTGGGTAGGCAGGCAGGAATCCACTAATATCTATTTCAGACACAACATGAAGTATATAGAAGTATCATTTCACAAATAACATGGCTCATAGTGTTCAGAAATGACTCTAAGTCCAAACAAGAATACAACAAATCCAAGAATTGTACAAAAAATTATCAGCTTCAAAGTCACAACTAAATCCTTCAAATGTATTTGATAGTGTTTCTTTATTCTAGATAATAATACTGTGCTTAGGTTCTAAAAATAGAATTATAAAAGCAGTTTCATTGTCAAAATACAGTAATGTGAGCCCTGTATTACCAGATTCTATCACATGCATTTTACTAAATAAAACTTGATTTACTGCTCATTAAATGGTCTGTTACACATCTAATTTTTACAAGTGAAAAAAATAGGCCTTCGTGCACTCTCACAAAGGTAAAAAAAGATGTAAAGTTTCTCAACAGACTTTATTATTGTGAAGCCTAGTGAAGACTTCTATCACAATTATAAAAAATACCACAAAATGTAATAGTTATCCCTTTGGCCACAGAAGACCCCATCTGCAAAATATTTCCACAAAAACGCTTTAAACAACAACAGGGTGCCAGATGAGCATAGCTATAAAGGCTGTTTTCGTCCCAAGTACATATCCAAATACTCCAACGTAAGTTGGAAACACTAAGTGTCTATTTACAAATGACTTCTTCTCATTCAAATTCAGAAGAATTATTATTGCTTTATTCAACTTAGTTATTTCGGACCAGACTGAAATAAGTCAGTAAATAAATAAATAAATAGACTCTCTCCTCCCCCGACCTCCATACACATAAACACACACACACATACACGCGCGCGCGTACACACACTTAGCTGCCCGAAGTGCAACTTAGGCAGAAGTTAGGCATCCAAGAGCAGGCAGCTAAAGGCAAAAGCACTAGGGGCTGTGTGACGCTTCGGTCCCCAATTCAATTCAGTGGAGATTCAGCCCAATTCAGTGTCCAAATCTCCAAATCCAAATCGAATCAAGAGACTCTTTAATCTTTCCGAATCAAATCATAGAATCATAGAAGTAGGGTCAGAAGAGACCTTGTAGATCTTCAAGTCCAACCCCCTGCCTGGGCAGGAGGGAAACTGGGCTCAAGTGACCCCAGCCAGGTAGGTATCGAGCCACTTCTTAAAGACCCCCAGGGTAGGGGCCAGCACCACTTCCCTTGGAAGTTGGTTCCAGATCCTAGCCGCCCTAACTGTGAAGTAGTTCCTATGGAT